GGGGGGCTACGTTATCTTTTTTAGATTCTGCTTGTTTTTCATGTTTTTATTTCCGCAGAATAAAAGAATAAAAGCATGATGTCCCGATTCATCGGATCGTCATGAGGGGGAGAGTGGTCCACATGCTGTTAACACTGAACAAATCATTCTGGGACACTTCACTCCTCCATCACAAAATTCAACACCCTCTCTACTATCTCCGCAACTCAAATCAAATGGTCAGCTACACTCACAAATCAACAATCATTATGTTCCGCTGTGCCACCGACAAGTTCTCCTCAAATGCATTCATTCCAAATAGTCAAAAAGACTACATTGTGGAGGAGACAGAGGTCAAATACTCGTGTCTTGAAGATGAATTCCATGGGCGTATCCTATTCTCCAAAGAATATTCATTCTAGAGGCGTCACCAGACTTCATCCAAGCTGATCAAGAGCAACTTCTGGAAGGCAAGGACTACATGCAAGATACTGAAGGTCCCTCAACCCCCGGCATCAAAGATCAAATTGTCAAGAAGACATCAAAGGGGAGATTGCAAGGATTTCTTCAGATAGCCTTCCTCAGAAGTCAAGTTCAAAGACAAAGGAAGCTCAATAACAACAAAGACAAAGATATCTGCGCTGCAATGCTGATTCAACACGATTGATCACCAAGGGGGAGATTGTTGGGAATATTTTATGGTGTTCAATCTAGTTAGTTATCTTTGTATTTGTGTAGTTATTAATTAATCGTGTAATACGGGCCACAAATGTGTATCAGCCCGTGGGCTTCCTTGTAACCCGTAAGTTAGCCAACTTCTCCTATAAAAGGAGGCTAACTTACGGGAACCCAAACTAATCGAAAGAGGCTTAGAGACGCAGAGGCGAGATAGAGAGAATTAGGGTTGCCGCTGCTCTCCTTCTCCAGGGAGAGTAGCGGCAGATTCATACGGTATATCAGATTCGCGTTCAATCTTTTCGATTTCTTTCTATTTGCTTCTTTATCACTGTTATGGTTGTATGATTGTTAGTATTTTGGGACTAACAATATTGATTCACACTGATGGCGATCATGTTGCTGCTATTGTGAAAAGCATTTTTCCGGAGTATGTTGCATCTGCAAATGACCTGAATTGTCTACGTGACCGCGCAATATTAGCCCCTACCATGTCCGTTGTAGAATCCGTAATGTTTATATGATGGGTCTCAACGTCGGCGAGGTTTCAAGGACATACCTTAGCTCTGACAGCGTGTCAAAGGCAGATTCTACAACTGATCTAATGGCGGAACTGCACACCCCTGAATTCCTAAATAACATTAAGTTATCTGGTGTGCCGAATCACAAGTTGACATTAAAGGTTGGCACCCCAGTCATGCTTCTAAGAAATATTGATCATTCCATGGGTTTGTGTAATGGTATTCAGCTAATTCTCACCAAACTTTGCGATCATGTTTTGGAGGGTAAAATTTTAACTGGTGTCAGTGCTGGACAGAGAGTGTTGATTCCTCGGTTGTCCTTGACTCCCTCTGATGCAAACTTGCCTTTCAAATTTCAGAGGCGACAATACCCCATTATGATTTCTTATGCTATGACTATTAATAAAAGTCAGGGTCAGTCGTTGTCCCGTGTGGGTTTGTTGTTAAGGAAACCGGTGTTCACGCATGGACAGCTCTATGTTGCGGTTTCAAGAGTGACCAACAGGCGTGGTTTGAGAATTCTTATATGTGATGACAGCGGCAAGACCACAAATGCAACTCAAAATGTTGTTTATAAGGAAGTTTTCAATAACGTGTAGCGTTGCATTCTTTTCCGTTATTAATCAATGCTCGTAGTTCATTGCATAATTATTTTGGTGTTCTTTTATATGATATTTTTGTGTTTTATATTTACTAATGCTGAATTATACGTGTACTCTTTAAATTATCACCAATACTTTTGTATTGTTGTGAATGAATCTGTTGTGTCAACAATTTAGAAAACATTATCAAAGCAAGAAAAATGGGATAGAAATTCTCTGACCGTGAATCACACGGGTGATTTACTCGTTTGTATAAATAATAGCTTCCCCTCCGCCCATAGTTTCAATGCACACAACCGAACAAACAAGGTCAATAGCTCCACGGCCCCACCTACCCTTCATTATTTGTTACTCCGTAATAAAAATACTTTATCAGATAAAAATATTTCCGGTCAGATAAAATATCTCTGAATAGATACTCACCCACTCCGCAACTAACACCATTATTTCCAACCACTTCAATAATGTCTATGGTCAGATAAAAAAAGTACTTTATCTGATAAAAATATTTCCGGTCAGATAAAATATCTCTAAATAGATACTCACCCACTCCGCAACTAACACCATTATTTCCAGCCACCTCAATAATGTCTCTGGTCAGATAAAAAAAGTACTTTATCAGATAAAAATATTCCCGGTCAGATAAAATGTCTCTGAATAGATACTCACCTACTCCGCAACGAACACCATTATTTTAACCACCTCAATAATGTCTCTGGTCAGATAAAAAAAGTACTTTATCAGATAAAAATATTCTCGGTCAGATAAAAAATCTCTGAATAGATATTCACCCACTCCGCAACTAACACCATTATTTCCAACCATCTCAATAATGTCTCTGATCAGATAAAAATATTCCCGGTCGGATAAAATATCTCTGAATGGATACTCACCCACTCCGCAACTAACACCATTATTTCCAACCACCTCAATAATGTCTCTGGTCAGATAAAAAAAGTACTTTATCAGATAAAAATATTCCCGATCAGATAAAATATCTCTGAATAGATATTCAACCACTTTGCAATTAACACCATTATTTCCAAGTTCCAACTACCTCAATAATTCACCTCTAACACACTCACTATATAAGCAAAACTTCACACACTAATTCTTATCACTCACATCTCTCATTTCTATCACTTATAACTCTCATTTTTACCACTCACAATAAATAATAATGTCAAGTGAGCAGAACATAATAGTTCTTGTTCATTGGAATGAGGTATTGACTAATGTTGACAACGAAGTCAAATACTCTTCATTTCTGAATGCAGTACTTTTCTTAATTGCCGATGTTAGCTACATAGCACTGTGTGAGCATATTATTGCTGAGATTTCTCGTGAAGGTTTAAATGAAATAAAAACCATTCATGGAAAATTTCCTTTCGAGTTAATAGCTCCGAATCCGTCAACTCTTTTTAAAACTCGTCACATTGATTAAATATATTGATACTTTTAATTAATGTAATTTGTTATTTTTCAGGTTCAGATTATTTAATGGGTAGGTTTTTATTATTCGGGTTAAAAAGATTATTTTGTTAATGTAAACGTAAGAACTTTTTCAATATTTGTGTTCAAACGATTTAATGGGTCAATTTTGTAAAACGTGTGCTTATTTATTTGAATGGGTCAATTTTTTTAAAAATGCGTATTTTGATCGAAATTCGGGGCTGATGCGCATATTCAACTTAAATGACAAATATTGTATTATTTTTAATTATGTTGAATAAGATATGATTTATAACAAAAAAACAACCGTCACAAAAAAACAACAATCATAAAAAACAACAATAAAAAAATACAAGCAACCATATAAACTAAAACAAATAACAACCATGAAATTGTTCATTTCCCATAGTGGGGTGTACCGGTTCTTCTATAAGAAAGGCAAAAAAATTAAAAAAGTAATATATACCGTACACCGGGATGTATGATCCTCACCGTACATCCGGGTATTTTTGAAATTATTATCAACTTCTCTCATTCCATCGTACGGTGCGCTGCCCCGATTCCTTCTCCCAGGCCATCGCCGTTTCCATCTATGTCTGTGCCGACCGATTTCCGAGTCAGACGATTCTGATGAAGTTTGTGATGGTGAAGAAGAAGTTGGCGCATCATCCTCTTGCCTGCGCTTCTTCTTTGCGCGTCTTCTTTCTGCTCGAATGCCCCCCATGGTTCCGGAGATGTTTGTTGCTCCGTGCAGCGTTGGTCAATTGACAACTAGTGTGGGAACGTTTTTCTCTTTTGTCTTTCTTGTTCTTTTCTTCCTTTTATGTTTTTCCTTCTTTAGTTCTTTCTTTTTCTTAATTTTTTTTAATCTCTATTCAATTATAAAATATTTTAGATATTAATGTTTTGTTTTTCTATCTCATTTTGTAATTTGCGTATGCTCATTTAATATTCGTTTTATGCTCATTTTAAAATGTCATATCAATATACAAATGAATATTGAGCACATATCAAGCACAATAGAAATGATTTTTATGTTAAATTCAAATGAGTATAACGTCCAAAATGAATGAGCACACAAAAATGTGTTTTTAAATTTTTTGATACTAATTTCGTAAGTTATGTATGCTCATTTGGTAATAATGGTATGCTCATTTAACAGAAAGCTTGATTTTCATCTCAATTAATGAGGTTTGGTGCTCAATGAACATATCGTTATGTTAAACTAACAAATCTTACGATTTTCATATAATAAACATTTTACTACGTATAAGTTACGTATACTCATTTGGTACTGATGTTATGCTCATTTTAAAATGTTATATCAATGCATATTTTAAAAGTATCATATTACATTAAATTCGCATATGGAAATTCATAGGAGTGTATTATTATAGATATAATTCAATTACTTTTTATAAAAGAAAAAATAAGGAAAAAAATTGAATTAGAAGATATGAAGCAAAAATCAGGATACTCATTGTTAGCCTCTAAATACTCAATAAAATAGGTCAGATCTCACTACATGTACACTATTGCTCATTTAGCGAAAACTGTGATTTTTCACTTAAATTACAAAAATGACACTGAATTTTTTTATCTTGTATTCATTGTTGGACTGTCTTTCTTATTTGGACCGGCTATACATGCACAGGATGCACCATATAGGAACCCGTGAAATCGGATGGTCTGAGCCTGCAGAACAAAAATTCGGACCTCGTTTTAAGCTATTAGAGAAAACCGAGAAAAAGTTGCGTTATTCGGAAACAAATGTCCCTAGTTAAAACATAGCTTCAAACGTAAGCAATGGAGCGGTTTAAGGTCTGCGCACAACCTACGTACGTATATGCTTAAACTTGAAGCTACTCGTTTCTTCTCTATATATATAACCTCCATATTCCTGGCATGGAGGGCCCCTTTCTTCTTCTGGCATATTTCCACTTTTCTCACAATTTAGATCCCACACGTCCTGGCCTTCTCAGAATATACCTTTCTTCCAAGAATTAATTCAAGAATGTCCAACTTTTGCTTTTCTCCTTTTAGCTCTGCTTGTAAGTCCTCATAAATGATCAATATAGTAATGTAGTATTTGATACTCCGTAGTTGATACCATTCATTCTTTGAATTGTTCGGGTAATTGCACGGGTTTCTGCATTTTCATACCTGTTTGATCTTGGAAATGAATATGCTTACACCAAACAAGATTAGTTTATAGGAAACACAACACGTGAAAATCTTTTTTGGGTGGATGAAAATAGCTTATCAGAAGGTACTTTAGTTAAGAAGAGTTACAGAACAGTGGGAAAAGAAATTATTTTGATTAGTAGATTTTGATCCCATGAATGTTGTATAGTCTGGAAAGGCTGACCCCATGAATTGAAGGCTGACCCGGGCTCGCTTTGGCATTGGCTGACCTCACGAAGCAGGCCGATCCGGGCGCTTCGTAGGACTGGGCAATGCCATTAACCCCACCACATAGTCTCCATATTACAATCTAGGGAAGCTAGCTACTCTGCCTGTTCTAATCTGGCAAGCATTAACTGAAGATAATAACGTTTGAGTGTTGACACTATTTTAATACTCGATCCGTTCCATTTTATCTGTCTTACTTTCCTTTTTGGATTGTCCCAAAATAAGTGTCACATTTCCCTTTTTGGAAAGAAATATGTGGTTCATATCATTTCACTTTATTATACTCAAATCCCAACCACAATTTTTACCTTTTCAACCACTTTATTAAACATTGTGCCAAAACCAAATGAGACGCATAAAATGGGACCGAGGTAGTAGCGTTTTAGTTTAAAGACATTTTCTTCAATTTAAACATTTTTCATAAACATGTTTTATTATTACTTTTTGACAGCTCTCAGCCAGACATCTAACAGCAGTAATCTATTTGCGGGGAACTCTACTGGTTTGTTTGGAACAACTTCATCAGCTCAGTCTCCTGTGTCAATATCACCTTCTTTTGGCGGTAAAAGGATTTTAAATATATCCTTGATGTTAATTGTTTTTTCCCAGTAATTGTTTATTATTTTGGGCTTCATTTGTTAGGGGGTGAACAATTGTTGCCTAATCAGGAAAGGCATTGTACATATTCTGTTTATCAGTTCAAATGTTTTCCTTGGAGTGTGTATATTCCAATGTATTACCTTTTAAACTAACATTCTGCTCACTTTTCCTTAGCAAATCAATCATGAAAGATGATGAATTGTAGTTGCTTGACATGCTTTAGAGCTCTGCTGCTCTTTAGAGGATTCATCCTAATTAGAGTTACCACTTTGAAAGTTGAAACTATTAAGACATGATTCCATTCCAAAAGTCATCCTCAGAGAAAAAGTAGTTCAATATCTCACGCAGTAGTTTATATTTTGAAGATATGAAAATATTTCAACATGAACTTTATAAATCAATCAATTTTATAAATGTTACAAATTAACTCTATTTTGTTTGCTTCAAAAATTAACTACAAGGAGTATTGAGTAATGTTCTGCTTAATTGTTTCTTCAAATTTGTGCAGGAGCTTTCACACAGCCATATTCTACCAACAATTTTGGCTGGGGAAGAGGTAATGTATTTGGTGGGAATTCTACAGGTGTTTTTGGAACAACTTCAGCTCCATCACCATCTCTGCCAATAACATCTACTTGTGCTGGTAAGATCACTCAAATAACAGATGTTCATTTCTGTCAACTTACTGTCCTCATAATTGAGATGCTAACTGTTCTTTTATTTATCTATTTACTTTATACTACAGGTCCTCCATTTTCACCTTTTCAAAGCCAACCAAATGCCAACTCCCCTTTCCCTTCTGTTCATTCTTCAAACCTTTTCTCTCCTCAAACTCAAACACAAAACAGTGGGCTGACACAATTTTCATCATTTGCCAGTAAACCGAATGCTAATTCTTCATTTGCCACTCTTCAATCGAATCCGTTTTCAGCTAAACCAAATGCCAGTTCTCCATTCCCCTCAACTAGTTCAAATTCCCATTCTCCCTTTTTCTCAGTTCAGCCAAATCTGTTTTCTTCTCAAAATGAAACCAACAAAGGAGCCTGGGGATTTTCACAATTTCCTGTCCAGCCTAGTTCTAATTCTTCTTTTCCCTCTGTTAGCCCTAATCCGTTCTCTAATCAGCCTCAAACTGCTGGATTCAATGGATTTAAGGATTGTTCTAGCAGCCAATCGAATGCCAGTTCTCCTTTTCCCACAGTTCATCCAAATCCGTTTTCTGCTCAGAATCAAAGCAACAGAGGAGTTTCTGGATTTGCGCAATCTTGGAACCAGCCTAATGCCAATTCTCCTTTTACTTCGGTTAGTTCAAATCCATTTTGTATTCAAACTCAAACAAGTGGATTAAATGGATTTGTGAATTGTTCTAGCCAGACAAATGCTAACCCTTCCCTTTCGTATCTTTCAAATCCATTTGCCCCTCAAGCAATCCCTGCACCCACACCTTATTCTTCTACTAAAATGATGGATGATGGATATTGTAAATCCATTTCTGCCATGCCATGTTACGCAAATAAAAGCCACGAGGAACTCAGGCTCGAAGCCTACCAGCTTCAACACAAAAAGGGTAATTGCATTTGCACTCTGTTTGCATTCACAACACAAACCATTCTCATTTTTCAAAAAGGACTAAATAAAAGTGATAGACAAAATGTGATTTTCAATAAGCACAGACTACAATGATATTTTTTGAATAACTATAGTGACTTAGTGAGTACAGCGATATTCAATTTACACTCTAGTGACTATAATGATATTTTCCGAATAACTATAGTGACTATAATTATATTTTGCGAATAACTACATTGTTTTTTTGCAAAGTTCTATTTAAAAAGGAAAACTCATTTTTCTTTTTCATTTACTGGTTAGTGCAGATGGAAAGGGAGCACTGCCACAGGCAGAAATTGGTGGTTCCTCTCTGGTTCCTCCAGCGAACCCAACCATCACAAACTCATTTCCTGCTGCTGTTTATTCACCATTCAATCCTCAACCAACATCTTGGAATCCTGTTCCACAAGTGGATGCTCAACCAGTTCCTTCAAGCCTATTCTCTCTACAGAAACCGCCATTTCGTTCTTCTTCTTCTCCCCCCCTCTGGTCTTCAACAACTCCATCAGTGAGCACTTCTGTTGCCCCCGGATGGCTCACTCCTACTTCAGCAACAACACAAGAAAATACTTTTGCATCCAAATTCTTTTCACCTGTTTCTGATTCTTCCAATTCATCCCTTAAGTTTACTCCTCAATCTACCTTGTGCCGGAATTGCAATGGTATCAAAGGTCAGACATCTCAGCCGTCCTCAATTGAACCAAGTACACAGCCTTCTCCCAATCAGCCGAACCCGTTGTGCATTCAAAAGACTGCAGGGGAGCTTGCGGAAGCTCCCTATTCAACTCCTCAGGCTCTACAGATGACATCTATCCATCCTGCATCTATTATTTCAGTTCAGTATGGGATTTCGTCTTTATCAGTAAGTTTCACACTCCTTTGATCACTAGGAGGAAGAATATGATCTTGTTGAGTTTGTGTCTATTAAGATATGAGGCTCACTACTGGATGTTTTATATGTTTGTATACTTTTCATATTTGAATAGTTTGGGACAACCTCTTATCACCCTCAAAGAAATACACCTTATTTGGACAGTGCAATTTTTAACCTGACCCAACCATGCATTTTTTATAGGGCTGCATGCCTCTCACGACTTGGACCTCATCTAGCAGTTATTATTATTTTCATAAAGACACATATCCTCACATGATATGTATGGATCAAGTAGGCTCTAATGTCATTTTCTATTTTGAAGTTGTATACTGATAAGTCACTTGATGATGTAGGTTTCTGACAAGGCAGCCCCAACAGGAAGAAGATCCTCCTCTCTCATAGTTCGACATTCATCTTTGAGTCGATCTAAGATGCCTACTCTAAGATACAATAAGGATGACAATGTTTCAAGAGTGAGACTTACTTTTGCAGATCTATATGATCATATTCCACATACATTTTGATTTCTGCATTTGAAAATGAATGTCCCTGTTTGTGTTTAGAAGAATACCATAAATGTGCATTGCATTGTTTGACAGGTTCCGTTTTTCACGGCTGGTGAGGGAAAGTCAACAGGAGGTGCAAAGATGAACTTTGTAATATTTCCAAGAGAAAATCCAAGGTCTTGGATTCATCCCCCAGCAAAAGAGTGTTCCCAAAGTCATAGTCCAAAGATATTTCCTGATATGGAGCATACATCTATCACTCTCTGTGAGAGTGGTAAGCTTTTCTCTATTTAAAACTCCAACAGTCAAATAGAGGGTTCAGTTCATGATCTCATTGATCTGGCTTTCTAAATTGTAGGAAATGTCATGGTAGAGATGTCTACTTCAGCTTCAACTTCCTCTTTGCATATAGATACTTACATCCAAGATGGTAAGCCATATTGTAAAAGCATATATCAACATCACCGTCTAATAGAGAGTGTAAGAGGGATCTAACACTTGACCTCCTAATTTAGGAGAGTAGAAGGTCTTTAATGTTCTATTATTAAAAATATGATAAACACATGATTATAGAAAAATAGTATGACTAAATGACAAATATGTCCTTCATCAGTTATCTCTATCATTTATTAGTGTTTAGCATAGAATGAGAGTATAAGGGCAATATTTTAAGAGTAAATAATGCTGAAATTTTTGAACAAACTCTTTTTTAAATAAAAAGACTCCTCTTAGAGAACATCTGGAATAAATGCATTATATTTTTTTGGTATTTAGCGGGATGCTATGATTCGGAAAATCTTTGGCATGTTGTAATAAAAAATGCTACTACTACTCTCATACTACCTGCATTTGGTTCTTAATTTCTTATAATCATATAACTATTTAAGAAAATGCAGGTAAATCCACACAAGTACACCCAGCCAAAGAAAGCCAAATTGACACATGCGAAGCAGTGAATAATAAACATGACATTGACGTTGATGCCACTATGCCGACGCTAAGATCCGAGAATTACTATACAGAACCTACCATACAAGAATTGACAGCAAAGGAAAAGGAAGAACCGGGCTTCTGCAGAAGTGTTCAAGATTTTGTGATCGGAAGGCAGGGTTGTGGTTCCATCAAGTTTATAGGCAAGACGGATGTTCGTGGGCTTGATCTTGATGCTTTGGTCAAATTCAACCACCGTGAGGTGATGGTGTACATGGATGACGACAGCAAGAAACCTGAAGTTGGAAGAGGTCTCAACAAGCCCGCTGAAGTGACACTTCTTAATCTACAGTGTGTTGACAAGAAGACGGGCAAGGTTTACAGAGATGGACCGTTGGTTGACAAGTACAAAAATCTGCTCATAAGAAAGTCAGCTGAGCAAGGTGCAGAGTTTGTTTCTTATGATCCAGTGAAAGGAGAGTGGAAATTTAAGGTCAAGCACTTCTGAAATGTTTAATGATGAGTTTTAGACTTTTTCATGAGTTCTTCTTTTGATTCTGTATTAAAAAGGTGTATAGGTTATAAAGTCATTTGGGTTAGATTTGTCTATTTAAGTTGTGAATTATGATGGCTGTTGGCTTAGTCCATATTTTGGCTTTGATTGTTGGTTTAGTCCATAGTTTTGCTTTAATTCTTCAATTTGGTCTGTCTTGTAAATTATCTTTGAAGGTTATAATCTCCACAGTGCTTCTGAACTGATCTTCTAATCTTTATTGTGCCTCTAAGATATCTTCATGGTTCTTCAAAGTGCTTCTAAGAGGCTTTTATTGTATTCTCAAAATTGTAAGTGATACTGTGATAGTATCTAGTCATTATCTCATCGTCAATTTGTATTTGAAAAGATAATTTGCCTTTATTTTCTTAATCATGGATTCATGCTAAGTGGGATGATGGGAAGATATCAAAATCTTTTGATCAATGAGCGTTGTGGAAATCAATTTGAAACAATCTCCATCTACAATCTACATCATTCAGTTTTTTTCTTTAAATTTTATCTTTTGCATTGTAATTATGTCATGTGTTCTAGAAGTTGCATAATGTTTTCCCATGTTAAGCTATTCTACGCTCATAAACTATAAAGATACATACTACAAAGTATAATACATTCAATCCTTTATTATGATTCTAAAGCATTTTAAATTCAAGTGAGCAACTCCATCCAATGGAGACATATATAAAAGGAGCATACATATTTCAAGATTTATCTGAATCAACAAGTCTCAGTTTTAGGTACCTTTGATTTTTGTATTTATAATGAATAATAATGTGCTCCATACATCATTAACAGCTACAATTATTCATTACTACTACTATTAGTTATTAGAAACCTTCACCAAAATTTGATGAATTGATTATCTATTGGTGAGAACTTAATTAAAAAATTTAATAGATAGTCAAAACATGTTTTGTAGCATATGATATTCAATTTGTTATACCATGTACCATAACCATAAAAACCTAGGCATGTGGCATGGGAGCAGGGATCAAACCTAGCATAGGAATATAGGATATTCAATTTGTTTTCACTTGATAATTTCCATAATTTACTTTTTATGGTAACTAAATTATGGAGTATGTCCTATGTAGTATGTTCATAATTGCAAATGTAGAGCCCGTTTGGTGACTCTGTTTTTCCGCTTATCAGGCTTATAACAAACTTTTTAACCAAACATGTAACTTTTAATTTCGCGCGCTCAATTGTGCAATACTAAGAAAAAGTAAGGTAGGAGTTACTTTTCTGGCTGTATTGCCTGAAGTTACTGTAGATGACTATTTTAGTTATTTTTCATATAATGTACTCCCTCCGGTTCTGAAAGATCTTTACACTTTCCATTTTTAGCAGTACCAAAAATATCTTTACACTTCCTTATTTGCCTTATTTGGCAAATAAACCTACACAAAACAGTGCCAAACAGTGCCAAACAGTGCTAAACAGTGTCAAACAGTGTTAATTTCCTTAAAAACTGTGAAGTCAAAGTGTCAAGATCTTTTGGAACCGGAAGGAGTATTCTTTATTTTATTAATAAAAGATATATTAAATATTTTTTTCATAAATAAGTAGAATCAATCAATATAACCATTTCACCCAGAACTTCATAAATTTTAGCAGAATCAACCGATTCAGTGTTACTGGTTCGTAGTCACTCACATGGTGATTCTATTACACTAGGTTGAAATGAGGTGTCAGAGTAAATTAATCACGATGACCTTTAGTGACACAAAACACAAAGTCTATTACTGAACTCCCTGAAGAACAGATAACGATTACAATATCTTTACCCATCATACCAATACGCTTTGAGTGACTGATAAAGTATTAATCTAGAGAAAAGTGAGAGCTAGATAGAGAAAGTGCTAGTAATTAATATTTCTCAACCCCTACACATACCCCCTATGAGAGTATTTATAGGAAAATGTGGGTTTGAGCTCTCAAGATTTGGGCCTGGGAGGCCCGATACAGTATAAGGTCTCTAATGGGCCGAGCACATGATTACTAGAGCTAAGTATAAAATCTAGTCTGCTGGAGTCTCGTTGGCTGAAGGAGGGCTAGGCCGAAGGAGGGTCTGACCGATGGAGGTTCAAGCTTCTACTCCTAGGCTCTTGGACTGTATTCTGAGATGATAGAGTTCGACCGATGGAGAGCCATCTGAGCGTCATGGTCCTTGTGCTTGTCTTCTAAGTATGCAGGTCATAGAGTCTGGACCTACATACTCCATCAGTAACCTTAACCGGTTCTTGACTTTAGCCTTCTACTATCGATCTCTAACCTACTATCATTAGTGATCACCATCACAAATAATGCACTTTAGTCAGTTTAGTGATACAAGATACAAAGTATGAAGCAAAGAAAAAGACTCATAAGATTTAAATATAACTATTAGGGATCATTATTACTACATCCATCTCGTTGATAGGTTTCCATGACAAAATGGCACGATTTTTTAGACAATAATTAAATAAAGTAATTAAAATATATTTCGAGAAATAATTTTAATAGGTATATAATATAATGAGGTTAGTGTTGATAACTGTGATGTTATAAATGTATTATTTTTAATAATTAAGGATTAAATTGTCATTTAAATTGTTAATTGTTTGCTAAAATAGAAAAGAGAACCTTTATATGAGACGTCTAAAAAAGGAAAGTGAGAACCTTTCTATGAAACAAAGGGAATATAATTTACTTTATTTCTATTCACTTTTTTGTCCACTTCAAGTTTGTTCATATTTTGGATTTTAGCAAGTGAAAGAGTTAGATGCGTGCCATTATTTGATATTGAATAGAAAAATTCCCGAAATAGGTCTGTCATATTTTTTATTCCCATAATAGGAGTAATTATTGCCAAGTTTAGAAAATACTGTCATGTTTGAAATCTGGTACTGCCAAACTATGAGAGTAATTAATCATATTTTGGGAATAAAAATATGACAATCCTATTTTGAAATTTTCTTTTAGGACAACTTTAAAATACATATACAACAATAACATCCAAACTTGAGTCTCCAGAGTACTTTTGAGTCGGCTAACATTACTTTACACAAATTCGGAACTAAAAAAGAAAGGGTTAAATGCGTCAAACCTCCTCGTGAAATATAAATTCAGCGCATTAGCCCCCTGTGATTTAAAAAATGCGTCAAACCCCTCTGTGTTTTAATTAATCATGCGCAAAATCCCCTTCAAGAACAAATTTTTCAATTTTGAAATCATGTTTTTTAATAATATAGTTGAATATGCAAGTAACTTTGTCAAAATTTCTAAATTATACAAAAAAAACTAATCATTTTTCATCTTTTTTGAAATTAAATTTGTTCTTGGAGGGGGTTTGGCGCATGATTAATGATAACACAGGGGGTTTGACGCATTTTTTAAATCACAGAGGACTAATGCACCGAATTTATATTTCACGAGGGGATTTGGTGGGTTAAACCCAAAAAAGAAAGCAAAAAATATAAGGTAAGATATGATAAAAATGTATATAAAGGAACTTGTCAAAGCGAAAAATAATGTATGTAAAGTATATAGTAAAAACAATGGATGATGAAGAAAAGTGAAAAAAAAGGAAAAGATGACAACTTCGGTACCTATTAAAAAAATGGGGTATCGTATGGCCGTATCTATTATTTACTTGATTGGTCCACATCATTATATCATTTTTAATTTAGATTTAAATAATTCAACTGCAACATTCTCATTAGTCCACGTGGACAAAGGTATGGTACCTTATGAGTACCATAGAATCTACCAAAGAAAAAAAGAACGATCTTTAAATCTTCGGAATACACAAATACTGACTTATGGAGTATCTCCAGTACCGATCCTACTTAAACTCGGGCCTGAGTCTAGCTTGATAAATAGACCTTATACATAGTGTTTCTTTGTCATATAGATTCATTAAAATTCAATGATTATATATCACAAAAATGAAATTCTTAAATTAAAGTCTTACATTATAGCAAAATGACATTGAACGTATTAAAAAATTACTTCCTTCGTTCTTATTAAAACTTCCAACTTTCCTTTTTCGTTCGTTCCAATTAAAACTTGCACTTTCCCCTTTTAGTAAATAATTTGTGGTTCACAACATTTCTTACACATTTCTCTCTCCTTTGCACAACTCTCCATCACACAATACCCACTATCTTAAATTGTGTGTCAAACCTATTTGGATATATAAAAAAGGAACGGAGGGAGTGGTTAAGTACAACTCGCCGAATATTTTAGACGCAAATGTATTAATCAAGTCTGCATGATCTATGTTATCAATGAATTTCATCTCAATTGATCATATAACTAATTCATTCAATCTTTTTTGAGACATGGTTGAAGATATAGTCTCCAAAGTGCTCTTTTATTCGAAATGAAGAACTACATACTACGTATTTATTAATGTTTCTGTCCTAACTTTGAGTTAATGATTCAATACGTGATTTTCTTTTCCTCTTGAAATCGAGACAAAGATTTGAGAGATAATGTACTAAAAAAGTGCATAATTTTGTGGAATCCCTAACAAAATACGTAGTATATTAGTAACTTTCTCTATAAAATACAAAACATTTAATTTAACTAATTGTGAATTGAGAATTCCATAATTGGAATATTGATATCACTAAATAAAAAAACAAGCAAGAATGAACAAGTATTTAAAAATTTACAAATTAGTCCATTTGGAATTCACACATGACAAATTAATTATACATCGCAATTAGCAAATCAATATAAAATTAGAAATTTAAGAAAATACAAACAATTAACTAATAAGCAAATAAAACAACATAGACTAATAGAATTAACTATATAACCTCAAGCCTAGAAGCCTAGAAATAAAAGTCGAACTGCCCAAGAGGAAAAATAAAAAATGACTAGAAAATACATATGTATAATACTAATACACACGTAGTATAAAATTCTGGCCCACCTGATTTTTACAAAGTTTTATGGCCCTGAGGCTCAAGCCTCTTCAGCCTTACATAAGGCACCACTATGAGTATCTCATATAATAGCTAGTCGTGAGCTACTAATCACGTTGCAGCATTTAGAGGTACAAACCTAACAGGTCCCGTACAAGTAAGGTTGTGATCAATATTTTCATTTTCGTTTTTAAATTCACAGAGAATTTGATTTTGCACTTCATGTTAAGGGTGATTTTTGACTTTGCACCTAGTCTTGGACCGGTACCGGGCCGACCGCCCCGCTACTGTGCGAGCCTAGACCGGCCCAAGCGTCAGGTACCGGTTACGGGCCTAGGCCCGGCCCGAGAATGAAAGCGGGCGGTTCCGGGACTGCATTTGGATGACCCGGCCCGATCGAGCCCGA